GTCGCCAACTCGTCGAGTCGAGGCACCCCAACTCGTCGAGTTGGTCTATTAATTCCCACAGCCAAATTCCACTCAACACGCCGAGTTGAAGCTTTCAACTCGCCGAGTTCAACAGGAAAAATCAACAATTGAAGAAATAAATTCATACTGGAACTAAGCGTTACAAATGGTGCTTGACCTGTCGGAATGTCAATGCCGAACATCAGTCCCGCCCACGACAAGTTGCAGCCTCTGGAGGTTCCATTGTGTAAATAAGAACATATCAACATGGATTTCATTACGAAGCTACCGAAGACGACAAAGGGTTATGATGCCATTTGGGTGATTGTGGATCATTTGACAAAGAATGCTCACTTTCTGGCTATTCGTGACAGCTCTTCTGCTAAGAGGCTGGCTGAGATTCATGTTCAATAGGTGGTTGCTTGTCACAGTGTACCCAGTTCTATGGTTTCAGATCGAGATGTCCTTTTTACTTCTAGATGTTGGAAGAAGTTCCATGAGGATTTAGGTATTCAATTATATTTCAGTACTGCTTATCATCCACAGACACTCGGGAAAAGTGATCGGACCTTAAAGTAAGGTGTGAAGAGATTTGAAGCAGAGGGTCCAGTGTTGCGCCACACAGCACACACGCAACAATTTTTAACTAAGAAGTCTTCTAAAAAACAAACAGCTGTGAAGGACCAAGTGATGCGCGTGTGCTGTGCGGCACAACAATAAGTAGTCAGAAGTGGTTTTTTAGAAAAAAAAACAAACAACACCTTAGTAAAGGTGCAGTGACAACACTAGAAGGGTTCTGAGTGGACTTGGGAACCCGAGGAAGAGATGCATACCTACTAATTTTAATGTAGATGATTTCAGAGGCAAAATCTGATTCAAGTGGGGAGAATTGTAATATCCTCTTTCCAGGTATTCATTTCTAAATTTAACTATTTATTTTTATCATTTTAACTTAGGCCACAACATAGCATTGGTAGTGCCATGGCGTGGCACTCATTAATTAAAAAACGTACATCCACGAAGAGCCATGACATGACGTTATATATGCCACGACGTGTCAACCGTTTTGGGCCTAAGACCTTAATTTCAGGATTGGTACCCTATTTAAGGGCACTAACTCCTAGGGTTGCCTCCTTTGGTAGCCTCTACCCTCTGAGAATGAACCCCATCCAAACCCTAACCTCTATTTGTGTGTTTTGAGATTTTGAGCTCCATTCTTGTAAAGGTTTAAGGAAGAAGGAGTCCTTTAGTGTTGCTTGGGAGTGTCGTTTCAACTTAGATCCATCATCTTCATCTCATTTCTGATTAATTAAAGGTAAAAATTCTCTACCTTGCTCATTAATTATCTAGAACTAATTCTAGGTAATTTTATGAGCTTTTGGTGCCAAATCTTCTTGTTCTTGGAGTTTGGGTGAACTCCAAAACCTTTGAGTGCATTACCTGCTTCTTAACCTTGGGGTTGGTTGGAAAGATCACTTACATGGCTTATTGGGTGAGTCCATGCCTTGGTGTTGTCATTAAGAACTTAGAAATTGAGATTTTTTGTTAATAAGATGTCTTAATGGATAAAGTTGGAAACTTTATCCATCAAGACCTTGAGGGAAATCATATTTGAGTTTTATAGGTTTTGGGATTCAGGAATAACATCTTAATCCATTAATTTGTTGGTGCCCAGTATCCATGGCATGGCGGCTGGTTTTCACATGACTCATTTGTCTTCGAGTGCCCACGACGTAGCTACGGGTGGCCACAACATGGAAACCTGTCAAAGTTGACTTTGACTGTTGACTTTTGACCATGGTTGACTTTTTAGTCAATTTGGGGATTATAGAGTGTAGACTGAGTGGGTACTTCCTTATTGCTGAATATGTATTTCATATTATTGTTCTTCTTCGTGTGAGAGTTATTGTGTCTTAGCTACTATCTACGAGGTGTGTCCTCTTACTATACTATACTATACTATAGGGCACTTGGTGTCGTTTGTGCATGTGTCTTTGTGACTACTGTTGGTATGATTGTATCTTGTATGCATGGAGCCGACCCGGGCTCGAAGTCTCTACGGACTCGGGTTGATACGGACCCGATGGAGCCGATCTGGGGTCGGAGTCAATATGGACTCGAGGTTGGTACGGACTCGGGGTTGTTACGGACCCGATACAACTACATGTTATATATGTTGTATATGGTATTTTGGGGGAACCCACTATGCTTTGTGCTTACGGTTGTTGATATATTGTGTTTTAGGTACTTCAGATGATCGCGGAAAGGCAATGGCTTGATTGTACACATCCACCTACAGTTTCCGCGATTCCACATATTTTGATACTCTGATATTTTGTGATGATACCTATGTTCTTTGACTTAGTTTTTGGAAAATCAATGATTTATCCTTATTTAAATATGAAAATTTTGTTTGAAAAATGCATTATAGTTGAGAACTAAGCTTTCATTTTCTCCTCGGACATAAGAGATTGATAGAGTAAGGGGGATAAGAAGGGTTTCGGTGGAGATACTTGAGAGAGTGCGAAGACCAATGGGTGATTTGGAAAGACATTGAAGAATTTAAGCTTGGAAAGGATCATTGCAGAATTAAAGCATGGAAAGGATCATTGAAGCTTTGTGAGGTATAAATCTATCTCATTTAAGCTATTGGATCAATCTAGTATTTGTTTTCCAAAACCTATCCATTTTTTCTAGAATGAAGAGTTTAATTTGATTTCTAACTTTATATACTTACTAGTTCATGAATATAAGCTCGAATCCATTCTATTGGTTGTTTTGGATTCATGAAGTTTATGGAGTCATAAACCCTAACTTAAGAAGGAATCCAAATTTTATGATTTAATATAAGTTTTGTATATGATTAGATGCTACAAACTTGAATGAATCACTAATAAACCTCCTCTTCATCATTTAAGTGTTTGATTCCATCTCTATTCATGGAAATGGGGAATTTGAATCCTAGTTAGTGAAGAAGCTGTACAATAGCGTTTTAGAGTACGAAGTTTATTTATAATGTAATATTTTTAGGTAATTTTAGCATTTTATTTATAAATATATAATATTAGAAGTGTTTATAATTATTAGACAATATTTATTAAAAACGTTAAGAAGGTTGATAAATGTTCAATATTATTAGGACTTTGAATAATAATTTTTGGAGGTAGGGGCTAGAAGTGACCAATTGGCCATACTTGCAATGTCGAGTCTTAACTTAATCAATGGACTAAAATGAAAAATAATTATATCAAGAGACTTTGTTTCATAGTTTTGTAAAGTTAAAATAAAAGGTTTGTCAAATTAATGGTTAATTCGAAGAAATAAGCTTTATGAGGGTTTAAGTTGCCAAAACCCCAAAGTTTAGAAATAAGCTTTCATTAGCTCCTCAAAGAGAAAAGATAGATTTAGATTAAGTGATAGGAATGAGAAGGGTTTGAATGACTATGTTTGAAGATTGTGAAGATCAATATGTGATTTGGAAGGAGATTGAAGAGTTGAAGCTTGTAAAAGATCATTGATGTTTTACGAGATATAAATCTCTCTTTTAAGCTATTGAGCCGATCTAGGGTTTGGTTTCCAAAATGAATTCGAATAATTTTGTTTAAAATGAGTAGTTTAATTTAATTTTCTATCTTTATCTACTCACTAGTTCATTAATCTAAGATCAAATCTCCATTTTATTGGTTGTTTTGGATTAATGAACTTTGTAGAGTCATAAACCCTAGCTTGGGAGTAAAATCTGAATTTTATGATTCAATCTAAGATTTAAGTATGATTAAATACTAGCAACTTGTAATGAATCACCACTCACCATTGAAGTGTTTGATTATATCTTTATTAATGGAAATGGATATATTGACTCATTCCGACAAATTTAATGCTAAACTTGATTGTTCATGTAGCAAACTAGAAGCGATGAAATAAACAAAATTCAACCAAAATTCTAAACATGATGAAATTACAACAAAATCGAAGAATTGGCGTGATGGTGATGGATTACGTAATTAAAAAACATACGGGACAGAGGTGGGAAAGGATGACGAGGAATAACCGACAATAACGACATGAGCATCTTGGCGGAGCAATGATGGACGTTAGAGCATAGATGGAGTTTAGAGCATTACGAGTTCCGAAATCAGAGCATTACAAGTTATGAGGGCATTGTGCCTCTTCTGGCCTAACTTACTGAAATTGTAAGGAGGGAACATGAAAATGAAAAGTAACCGGTGGGAAAACGATGGAAACAAAAATAATAGCTCAATAGCTTCAATGTCATAAAAAAGAGTAATTAAATTAAAAAGAAAAAAAACATATAGTGTCGCTATAAATTATTATGCCACTAATAAACATGACTTTTAGTTGTATAAAAAATTAAGTGTGATTAAAACCATTAATTTTTATAGTAACATTTAGAATGTGCTACTGCATGCATCATATAGTGGCACAAAAAAATATACACTAAATATCATTTAGTTTGTAGTGAATGCTTGCATATCGGTTTTCAAAAGTTTGTCGTTTACAAAGCATTATTACATGCATGATCTACAAATAAAATGGTTTGATTGTATACAAAAATAACATAATGGTTTTTTCAAGCATCGAACCGAACCGAATAATAATATGTTGGGTTTTTTTAGGGTTTTCTTACTTATAAAAATGATAATATAGTTCATGCATCGAAAAAGGAAGTTTATTTATGTGGATGAAATCATGTTAAAACATTTGGGTAAAAAAATGAACCAAATTTTGGAAATTTGTGTTTTTAGTAGGACTATTTCTCTAATTTATTATAAAATAATAGGATTTGATAATTACAAAAGTTTTACATTTAGGTTTGGTGAAATCCTTGATTGAAGTACTGGACCCATTTCAATCAGCTTTTTCAATTTCTGATAAGTTTCCAAGAAATTTCGACAAAAGGTATCTTTCATGAAAAGTAGTCGTTGACTTGACTTTCCTTCAAGTAGAAAAACACTGCTTACTCTTATTTTGATTGTAAATCTAGTCTCAAACTACTCGTACCTTACCATAACTCGCAATGACTGTTCTCTCTAAATTTGCAGAAGGATCTTCGTCTCCTTCATCTACTAATCGTCATAAACATGACGTATTTTTAAGTTTTCGAGGTGTTGATACTCGTAATAATTTCACCGATCATCTCCATAAAGCCCTCCTGGATGCCAATATCTCTACCTTTTTGGATGATGATGAAATTGAAGCCGGAGGAGATCTCAAACCGGAATTGGAGAGTGCCATTAAAGAATCTAGAGCTTCTATTATCATTTTGTCCAAGAATTATGCGAATTCATCATGGTGCCTTGATGAATTGGTACTCATCCTTGAGCAACGTATGACATCCAACCAAATTGTTATCCCCATTTTTTTTCATGTCGAGCCCAGCGATATTAGGAAGCAAGAAAGTAACTTTGCACTTTCAATGGCTGAGCACAAAGAGAAGATGGAGGCAGAAAAAAATGCATCTAAAAAACGTCAGTTGGCTCAAAAGATTGACCGATGGATTAAAGCACTTACTGAAGTTGCTAATTTAAAAGGGATGCACGCAAAAGGAAGGTAAACACTTTTTCGCCCATATTTCCACAGTAATTCGAATTTGCTTAATTAATACATGAAAAGTCATAAACCCAATCGCACCAAAAAAATAGGTTCTGTGCTGGTGGCAAAAAATTTTATAACCACTAGCGAGTTGCTAGGAAAAGGGAAACAAGTGATCAAAGCATTACAAACTTATTCAAACTCCGGGACTCAACAAAACCCCCTATCATGTTTAGATCTACATTTAAACCCATAAAAATCCAGGAGTTTTACTTCATTAAACAAAAATTTAGAACTTTGCACAACCCGCATCAGTCTTCCGAGGAGTCCGCTGAATGAGGGACACACAACCACCATGAATGGATCTTGGCCCTAACCTCCCAGGCTCCCACCCAGTAGAACACTCCAAAAAAGGTGTGTATTTTGTACCAGGGTTATTTTGGGAATTTTTTCCTTTTAAAGGTTTTTTGAGTTAGTTTATGAGTCTAGTTCCTTTAGTATATATAAGGGGTTAATTAGAGGTGTTTGATTTGGGTTTTCCATTCCTGTTTATTAGTAAAGCTTGGTGAACAAGCAATTTTTCCAGGAAAAACTGTCCCATGTTCCTCTTTTATTCTTCCTGTTTTCTGCCCAGTTTCTTTTCTGTGTTCTTCCTCACATGTACCTTGAGACCCGAAGCAAGGTGGAAACATCTCAAGATTCGCATTAGATTGGTAGTATTATCCTTCGACCACTCCCCTAAGAAGATGAGATCATCGGCATATTGAAAAAGTGAAACCATACGCCCTATATATATCAGGCAATCCCACCCCATGATAAAGACCATTTTCCAAAGCTTTAGACATTGGCACGTTAAATCCTTCCATCGCTAAAATAAATAAGAATGTAGAGAAAAGATCCCCTTGTTATTGCACCCCTCTTTCCAAGGAGAATTGTTCAATAGGTGCTCCGTTCACTAGAACCGAAACTTTTGTTGTAACCAAAATCGCCCGAAACTTTTGTTGACCAAAACCCATTTGGTTCACTACGTCCTACAAAAAAACTCCAATCAAGTGAATCAAAGGCTTTGTTAAAGTTCACCTTAAAAATAAGCAATTTTTTTCTTTGTTTCTTAGACTATGTGTGACCTCGTTAACCACCAATGGACCATCCAATATGTTATGATCATTAACATAGGCCGATTGCTCCTTACATACCACCTTGCATACCACCGTGGTCACCACATATTTAATCTTTTAGCAAATAACTTAGAAATGATTTTGTTGACCACCCGATGAGATAGGTCTATAATCCATAAGATTGAGCAGTTCGTTCACTTTTGGCACAAGAGTGACGAAACAAGCATTGATGTCGGGATTAATAACCTAATAGTGTCCGGACTCACAATATCCCAATCGGGGAAATATAAAAAAAACACCATGTTTTTCACACGTAGTTGGGAAAAGCCCTTACATTTTTTTTGGTTGGCTCTGGCCACAACTTTTACACAGAGTTATCACTCTAGCTCATTTAACCAGTTTCATGGTTAACTTTGTTATCTTTTCTGCAAAATCAGTCCTAAAATTGGGTTTAAAGTCCAAATTTGATCCTTGTAGTTTGCAAAAAATTACACACACATGTCCAAAACTCGGTTTTATGTTTTTTAACTTTTTTATTTTTATTTATTTTTATTTTTAAGTCAAAACTAAACTTGGTTTTATATTTTTTGTTATTTTATTTTTTATTTTTTGTATTTTTTTTACTTTTTTGTTTTTTTCTTATTTTTTCATCAATTTGATAACTTTTTTTTCTATTTGTTTTATAATTTTAGTTATATATGATTTTTCTAATATTTTTTTATTTATTTTGATTCAAGTAAATGAAAAAAAATCAATTTAAAATCTTGTAACATGTATTTTTAGAGTCTGACTCTTATTATTTATTTTATTCTTTATTCTACTTTACTATCAGATTGAAAAATATTATCTTGAATTTAAATTATTGATATCATATATAGAAATATGATTTAATTTGCAAGTTAAAATTTAATAAGTTTAGCTAGTTTTCCTATTTTAATAATTATAAATCGTAAATATTACACATTGACTCAAAATAAAAAAAAATAAAAAAGATAGAAAAACCATAAATTACCCAAATTAAAAAAAAAAATAGAAAACAAGAAAAACTCAAACATCAAAAATGAAATGTAGTCTAATATATTCATACACTTTACACTTTTTGAAAAAAGGTCAGAAGAAGTTATCAAATTGATGAAAAACAAAACGTAAAAAAAATATGAAAAAAAACAAAAATAAAATAAAATAAAACTAGGTTTAGTTTTGAAAAAAAAAAATAAAAAATAAATGAAAACAAAGAAGTTTAAAAACATTAAACCGAGTTTTGGACATGTGTAATTTTTTGCAAAGTACAGGGACAAAATTTGGACTTTAAACCCAATTTTAGGACTGATTTTGCAAGAAAGGTGACATAGTTAACTATATAACTCTATGAAACTGGTTAAGTGGGCTAGAATGATACCTCTGCATAAAAGTTGTGGCCAGGGCCAACCATAAAAAAATGTTAGGGCTTTTCCCAACTACGCGTGAAAAACTTGGGACTTTTATGGTATTTGCCTTATCCCAATATTTTTTTATAAATCCAAATGGAAACCCATTCGAACCCGGGTCTTTTTATATTTCCACAACCGCACACACTTTGTTAACTTTGTATGTCGGCATATTAGTTTTGTTTATTTCTTATTTATCTTTCATGAACTTCATAAACTTATTTAAACTTATAAAAAATCCAACTTATATATGTATGAAGTATAATAAAAAAATAAGTAGTTGTATTGCATCCTAGTAATAAACACAACATTATTTATTTTATTTTCATTACAAACATAATAAAAATACTAATAGCTAGTGAGTAGATGTAGAAATTTTGATTATTTTTCGTTTTGGTTATATTTTATATTTGCGGTACAAAGGGATAATTTTAATACTTGATTAAAAATAAAAGGAGACAAAAGTTTTGCAAATTATATTTACGAATTATAAGCTTTCAAATTGTTTTGTTAATAAGAATTCATAGTAATACAGTTTGTCCACCGATTATAACGACTTTTCCCGTATTTCTAGTTTATGGGAGAGGATGAGATCACCTTTGACGATCGAGCTAAATGACCCGTTTGGAAACATGTTGCACCCCTACATGTAGGCCAACTCTAATGTGTCTTAGATAAGATTTAAACTTGGTTCATTCTTGGAAAAGTGTTTGCCATGTAATCTTTCACGGTCACTAATGAGTGACTAGACCATTGTGTTGGGTTTTATACGCATTAATACATTATATTAAGCTAGCAAAAACAATAAAAGATTTACCTAAATGTACATGAACCCTAAGATCTAGGTTTGAACAAAATAAAGAATGGAATAACCTCTTGTGTATCTTAACCTTGATCTTCTTGAACCTTCTTGATCCCACCATGTTGCTTGGATGAGAGGACCCAAAGTAAAATCCCTCTAATGGAATCACACCCAAGACTCGAAAGAAAGAACCAAAAGAAAACTAGGAGAGAGAGGGTCAAACTTCTCCAAACCCTTGGAAGGTTAAGAAATTCGTCCCATAGAGAGAAAAGGAAGAAGTTGGCGAAAATATCAAGCCAAAGTGTGAACCCTTAGCACCCTATTTATAGCCTTAAATCCCTTTCCAGGTTTTATATCCCATCCCATGTGGAATGGAGATTTCGAAATTCATTTTATCCTTTAAGGGTTATGGAATATTCCAATTAGTCAATCTTTTAACTAATTAATATGCAACCCTTTGAATTAGTTATATCGATTTTTCATTTGTTTTTGGTCAACTATAAAATTATAATCGTTTTTTATTTTCTCGGCTACTACTTTCTGTGAGCTTCCTTTTAAGCCACTACCCTCCCAACCGGTAGTTGTTATTTTGCATATACATGCTTCAAGAAAAGTTTTGTCCACACATTCCAACTTCCAACTAACTCATGGTCTCTTTTTTGTCATGTCTAGGACAAAACCAATTAGTTTTCAAGTACTGTTATTTTCAACAAATCAACCAAAACAAAATCAAGTTCTTTTCTAATATCCCTAACACAAATGAACAATGTTTAATACTTCATGTAGCTTTTACACCAATCAGCCAAATTAACCAAACAAATAAAATCAGCCAAATATATTTAGAGTAGCCGAGTAGGAACAAATTTATGTATATAGATTCTTGTAGTTGGAACAATTAAATTGGGTTAATGGCAGGAAAAAAACTTCAAAATCAAGAAGAATTTAATAAAAAGAAGACATGTTGAGGTATTTCTTGGCGGAACAAGACACACAATGATGTTTCTGCATCTATTCAGAGAAGGAACAAAAAAAGGAGGTTCCTAAGGAAGACAACGGGGAGGCTGGTGAGTTGGGTGTTGGCGTCGTCGAAGGGATGCGACGACGGGAGGAATGTGACTGAGTCGGATATTTTGCTACCCAAATCAAACACACTGACCAGACCGAGTTAAACAAAAACGTCTGACCAACACAAAACGAAATCAAACATGCCCTTAGCCTAAATGATGAAGACATTGCAACACTGCCTTTTAACATGGTTGAGGGCCACACGTACAAAAAAAGTTGATAAGATTTTTAATTTATTCCATGTAGAAATTTATACCTCATTGGGGGCATCCCCCCATTCTCTTTAAATCCGACCCTTACATTGTTAGAAGTGCAAATATGATATAGCTTTGATGAGAAAAATCTAATGATACATTTTCTATTTGGACCTTTTGATAAATTAAATCCCCAATCTAGTTTGTTAGTTTTGCGTATAGTGTTTTGTAGCACTTACTGATTAAACTCAAAATTTCAGGCGGGAGACGAAGTTCATTGCAGAAATTGTCGAGGACATCTACCGTAAATTACATGTACCTGCACGGAGTGCTCAGCCACTTATTGGGATGGAAGAGTCCATTGACTTTGTCACTTCATGGTTGCGAGATGGATCCTCAAACACAGGAGACATACTCACTATTTTGGGTATGGGCGGGATCGGAAAGACATCTTTAGCCAAATATGTCTATGGGTTACATTTTCGTGAATTTGACACTAGAAGCTATATTGAAGATATCGGTAGGAGATGTGCTGGAAAATATAACGGGTTGCTTGATCTAACTAAGCAGCTCTGTGATGACATTTCAAAAAGAAGCCCGATCCAAGTTTATGATGTTTCTGTATACACCTCAAAGATAGAAAATGTATTAGCCAATAAAAAGGTGTTTCTAGTTCTTGATGATATCAATAGTCTCGACCAGTTGGATGCATTACTTGGAAACAAAGGTTTTCATCCCCAAAGCAAGATAATAATAACATCAAGGAACGCATGGCTAACAAAGAGTTGTGCATTATTCAAAAAGGAAGTTGTTCCCAGGCATGCAGAGCATTGGCTTCAAGGCTTAGATAAGGCTCATTCACTACAACTTTTGTGTTCTCATGCACTTAAGTCCAAGGATCCCAAGCCAGGCTATGAAATTGTTTTGGAGAAGTTTATGAAGTATTGTAGAGGACATCCATTAACTCTTGAAGTTTTGGGCAAGTCTTTACATAAACGAGATGCAGCTTATTGGGAAGAGCGCATAGAAGGGCTAGGGAAAGAAAACGATTCCCGTATAATGGATGTATTGAAGATGAGCTATGACTCTTTGCCATCTAGAAATGATAAGGAATTGTTCAAGCATATTGCTTGTTTTTTTGTTGGAATGGATAGAGATTTTTGCGACACAATATTAAAGGCTTGTGATATAAAGACAAGTTCTGGAATCACGAATCTCATTGACAGATGCCTTCTTAGTATTGGATGGAATAACAAATTGGTGATGCATCAGTTGCTTCAAGAGATGGGAAGATTCATCGTACGTGAAGAATCACTTGACAAGCCATCAGAGCAAAGTCGATTGTGGTGTCATGAGGATTCATCCAGAGTGCTGAAGCAAAAAAAGGTAAGAGACCATGTATACTTGTTCAAAGTGTATATATATATATATATATATATATATATATATATATATATATATATATATAAACTTTTTGTACATCCACTTTTTTTGTTAGGGTACAGAAAATACTCAAGGACTCACCCTTGACACGAGAATGCTTAAGAATAAAAGGTTATGTAAAACTTTTGAGTTGGAACTAGATGCATTGAGTAATATGGATAGTTTAATGCTACTACAACTCAATTATGTGAAATTCAATGGGTCTTACAAGAACTTTCCAGAAGAATTAAGATGGTTGTGTATGCATGGGTTTCCTTTAAAGTCTATACCTTCAGACCTACCAATGGAGAATTTGGTTGCTCTTGACATGTCATATAGCAAAATTGAATCATTTGGCTTTTGTTATAGAGAACGACCCTTGAAGAGGCAAAAGGTAACTTATCTCTCCTTCTAGTATTCACCCATATATATTGACTTGATGAATTTCAACTATTCTATCCTATCTCCATTTTGCAGTTGAGTGGATCGTGCTCAAAAGACAAAATATTGCTTGGATCATTAAAGATTCTTAATTTAAGTTTCTGTAAAGAGCTTCATAGTATTTGTGGCTTTGATGGACTACCAGCACTTGAGAGGTTAATAGCTACAAACTGTAGTGGTTTGCTTGAGGTTTGTGAATCAATTGAGCAATGTGTTGAACTTGTCTTCATCGATCTTAGTAATTGCAACAAGCTTGATAAACTTCCACAAACAATAGGCATGTTAAAAAAGGTTGAAACACTATTCCTAGATGGATGTAATCTCGGCCAATCTAGGCTTGAGATTAGGGATACGGATTATCCAGAAAAGCTCAAGGTTAACAAAACTGGCATCACTGTTATGAAGCTTATACCAACTGATTTGAAGTTGTTTACAATTTCTTTACCGGGATCTTTAGTAAGGCTGTCACTTAAAAATAATAATTTGTCAACAGAATCGATTCCCATGGACTTAAGTTGCTTATCCATGTTGGAGGAATTATATTTAGATGGCAATCCTATCGTTTTCCTGCCCGATTGTGTGAGAAACCTTCCTAGGCTTGAAATACTTCGCAGCGACATTGCAGGTGGCACCACCTATAAAAGGCATGTATCATTCTCATCAAACATTTTGACATCTTCTCTGTGTGTTCTCTGTTTTACTTGTTATCTAGTATCTGTGAGCCAAGAATTTATTGACTTTATTGACCTCCACCATAAAAGTTTAATTTTATAAAATATAAAAACTACTTCTAACTTTTAAATGGATCGATCCAAGTATTAATCCACTTATAAACGAGTGGATTTGCTGGATCAATAGATAAGGCTTTTTGATATGCTGGATCACATAAGCATGTCAGATCATAGTGGAAATTAAAACCCAACTCACTAAGATAGCTACAACTACTTTGTTCAAGTGGATCTATGTGATTGTTGTAAAATAATGTATTACTTTTTATCTGTTTTCATGATCAGAAGAGCAAGTGTTCTGTAGAGCTTCATGCAAAAGGAAGTCTGACAGGCGACATGCTTGTCATTCATCGTGAGGTATATTTTTATTTTTTACACACCAAACCTTTTTGATCATCAAATGAAGAACATGCACACACAACCAGCTATGTTATCATCAAAGTTCTTGATATATTGGTCTAGCTAGGATGTAACAAAAATCAGATCTATAACCTCGCAAGGATTGCTTGGAAATGAGAACTATAATGAAAATTACATTAAGAAATAGAATACAAAAGGGAATTTATTTGTCAGGTCTTGTCATTACTTAGACTTCTTTAATAAAAGGAAACTATCATTCTTACGGAATATACATAAAACGATTATGTTCATAGGTTTTTTCAAAGTTATGGTATTTTGAAAAACTATTTCCCAAATAACTGTATTTTAATATTAGTTAAGTTGTCAGAAAAGGTAAAAGTACATAATATTTTTCTATTCTAAATAAATAAATAAATTAAAGATGGACCTCTAATCACTTTTCACAACTAACTCTCATCTTGGTTTAATTTCAATCAATCAGTGACGTCAATGCAAGTGGGTCTTTGTTCTGGCGTCCACATTCCTCCACTACCTGTCTACCCACCACTGGCTTCCCCAGTCAAATTCCATGGGCATCCCTCCCACCTGGGCAGACGCATGTGGGGTCTCGTTACGAGTTCACACTTATTGGAGTAAACATGATGGACTTCTACAATGTAAGCCTTGTCTAAGGGTAGAATCCCTTAGGTACATCCGTTTGACTAGTTGGGATTAGCAACAACCTTTATTTGTGACTTGAGTATTTTAGAGTATTGATGACTTAGCACCAGCTGGAGAACCAACAAGTGACGAGCCATATTAGTTGGTGGACCTGTGGTTGACTGACCATTAGCTAAATGACAATTAGCTGGTAGAATGGAGACCCTGTCCAGTTTTAACTAGGATTTATATTTTACTTTGCCTATATATGTAAAGAGTGATAGCTATTGCCTATTGTTAGTAAGTCGTGGTTGTGTAGCACTCAGAATATTGTTTTCAAGCTTGTGAATATTGTTTTCAAGCTTGTGAATAAGAATAATCGCTCTTTCTTGTGGATGTGGGCCTTGACCAAACCACATAAATATTGTTTTTTTTATGTGTGTATAATTTATTCTTGTTTCCTAATGACAAATGGTATTAGAGCTACAAGCTTCGCTATTGATTAAAGAGATGTCCCATAAATTTGAGTTGGAGAAATTCAATGGTTAGAACGAATTTCACTTTATAGCATGTCAATCTTGAGTAAACGGGGTTTTTTGGTGGAGAAGTAACTCGAAAAGTCAAATTATAAGAAGCTAAGTAAAAGGAAAGCAACACATTATGAAGTTCAATTTCGGTCGACACAAAAGCAAGAAATCCTCGAATATATTCACTTAGATTTTTAGGGTTCCTCTCTAGTGAAATCTTATGTTGGATGATCATGCTTTGTGACTTTCATAGATGACTATTCAACGAAGGTTTAGTTAAATTGTCCGAAGACAAAAGATGAAGTGCTTGAAAATTCAAGGAGAGTGAGACTATGTTTAAAAAAATATATAGGAACCACGTCAAGACATTTAGAATGGATAATAGGTTAGAGTTTTGCAATGCACTGTTTGACAACTTCTGCAAAACAGAAGGTATAGCGAGGCATCACCACTAACAACTTCTACAAAATAAAAGGTACACACCACTGCGAAACAAAGTGAAAGAATGGATGAACCACTGATGTAACATGCAAGATGCATGTAGTTTTTTCTGATTTATCGAAGCAATTCTAGGAAGAAATAGTACATGTTACTTAATATCTCGTGAATAGGTATCCCTCAACTACGATTTATTTAAAGACTCCTCAAGAGCGATGATCTAATAAACACTTTGGTTATTTTGGTTTACGTATATTTGGATGATTTTCTTACGCTTATATTAATGACAATAAATTGAAGTGCATATCTCTAGCATATGCAACTGGAGTAAAATGTTATCGGTTGTGGTGTATAAATATAGGAAAGACTCTAAATTTTATAATTAGCAGAGACGCTACCTTTGATGAATTTTCTATGTGTAATAAGAGAGGAGAAAGTACGTGACTTGTATGGAAACCTGAAAACATGATCAGAGTGCTAACTTGAAGGTGGGGTTTGTAACATAAACCCTAAACAAAGTTGTGATAACTGAAGAATAGCAAAACATCATTTAACATCCTAGACGAGATGAATCTCAAGATCAAACCATGGAGCAAGAGTATAGAGATACTAGTGTCGAGTGAGAAGAAAATGAGGATGATTCTATAGCAAAAAGAAGGCAGAAAATGAAATTTCAAATTCCTATTAGATGTGATGGATGTGTGAATTCTTGTGGCATCGTTTCTGTCAAATATTCACTGGCAACTAGTTGAGAATGAATGAAGAAATGCAATCATTAAAAGTGAATGAAAGATTTGATTTTTCCGTTACCGAAAGAATAAAAGCTAGTAGGATGCAAACGAGTCTTTAAAAGAAAGGAAGGAATTACTAGATTTTAACCAACAAGGTTTAAACAACAGTTGGAAGCAAAGGGGTTCTCACATAAATAAGGAATTAATTATCATGGGGTTTTCTCACCTGTCGTGAAGCATAAAATGATTTGGATATTATTAGCCATGGTGAGTGCAATTAATATGCAGTTTAATCAGATTGGTGTCGAAGAAAATATGTATGCATCATTGTCTAGATGAGCTTTGAGAAGATTTACATGAACCAACCAGAAGGGTTCATTGATTCAAATAAAGATCATGTATGTTTGCTGAAGAAATCTCTTTATGGTTTTGTGATAGTCTCCAGGGCAAATGTACCAAAGATTTGATTTTTTTCTTGTGTAACATCTGGATCCTTGAGGTATGAAAATGTGAAGTAAAATATGAGTTTTGGGAGGGTCACAACGTGAGGGAAGCATCGTCACGTCGTGACATGCTCGCGTTTATTGGGATGGATCATTTGTGTTTCATGACATGACACTACGTAGGTCACGAAGTGACACCTAATCAGATGCAAAGCCCTAATTTCGAACTTGGAACCTATTCGCAGGACATGAGGGGCTAGTGTTTCCTTCACCCTCGGACCTCATCACCTCCAAATGATCCTTTGGCCATACCCTAGCACTCTTCAAGCTTTTGAGCTCACTTTCGCAAGCTTTTGGTGGTTTCGAAGGAAGAAGAAAAAGTTTTGGTTCTTAGTTTCTCCAAGAAATTCCTCATCATCCTTGTGTTTAGCTTCTGGACTTCTTGTAAGTCCTCAAACTTTCACCTTTTTGTTGTATGCTTCTTGGATCTAGATTTTATGCCATATGCTGCCTCATTTTTGAAGATAAAATGAGTAGAGGAGATAAAGTTTGCAATTTTATGATTTCACCGAGTCCCAAGAACATTATATCTCATAGATCTAGGATGTGGTTGTGATTTAGGGGCATTGCATGAAACTCTAGGTCATATTTCATCTTTTGACCTAGATTTGCGAAAGGACATGCATGTGGCATGCATGTCCAGAAAGCTTGCATTTTTAGGGGTCATTAGGGCCCCCAAAACTCTTCTGGAAGTTTTGGAATTGAGACTTTAAGGATTGAGTGCTTAATGGTTGACTCCATTCCTTATGTTGCCATTAAGGACCTAGAGTTAGAGATCTTCGTTTATTAGGTTGTCTTAATGGATAACTTTGTAAACTTTATCCATCAAGACCTTAGGAAGAATCAGACCTGAGCTTTGAAGCTTATGAAATGGATGGAAAATGGCTTAATCCATTAAGTTGTTGAGACCCAGATTTAATGATGTGACGTCTTGGTTGTCATGACGTGGCGACCGGGGGGTGCAACTATTTTTCCCCCGTCTTGCGACGACGTGGCGAATAGGAGGTCATGATGTGGCGACGCTCTGATGTTGACTTGGGCAATTGACTTTGACCGTTGAATTTTTGACATGGGTTGACTTTTGGTCAAAGTGTTATATCTAGATTATAGACTAATGTTGGACCTTATTTGATTGATAGGTGCGTTGTTGCACTGGTTGCCTAACAGTTAGTTGTGGTTTATCTGACTTCGTGAGACAGGTGAGTCTTCTCACTATACTATGCAGGATGCTAGCTGTCTTGGTGACTCTTGCATTTTTGTAACATCCCAAGACCAGTTATGCCTCACTAACCCTTTATCTTTTGTAATTGTCAAGTTTGGCCCTTCATTTGAGAAAACATGGTAAATGAGTACGCAGGGTGTACGCGTGTGTACGCTCGACGTACTCATGTGCGTGATTTGGACGCGGAACCACCTAGTACACTGGGCGTACCTACGTTGAGCGTACTAGGCTCAGGGTGAAAACCCTAATTGAGGGATGTGTCCCTATTTAAGCAACATGATGGCCTGATTTCTTGCCGCCATTTCCAGTCCTCAACCCTCTCAAAACCCTAATTTTTGTTCCTTGAGTTTGAGTGTCCATTTGTGAGCTTCTAAGTGTTCTTGTGGTATCCTTGGAGTGAAGAAGGAGCATTGAGGAAGAAAGAGTTGGAGTCCAGGCTTTGGATCTGAGCTTTTCTGTGGTTGGAGGTATAAAGCTCAAAGCTTTCTCATCCTTTTTGATTTGTGCATAAAATGGTCCATTTTAGGGTTTTTGGTCCCAAAGCTTGTAGCTTTATGAGTTGTTGAACTCCAGAGCCTGATATATGTCCCTTTGAGTGTCCTTAATGGAGTGGATTCATAAAAATGGAGTCTTGGACGTTAAAACCACCTCATGCATGAGATATGAGCTACTTTGAGAGTAAAGAGTGAGATTTTTGGTGTTTGGGACTTTATTAGCCATGCAAAGGCTTAAAGTCATGAACTTTGTAGAGTATGAGCCTTTAGGAAGTCCAGATCTGATAGTAGATCCATGGTCTTAACGGGTTAAGACTAATAGGGTGGAAAGAACAAGGCTGGGACGTACGCCGAGCGTAATCCCAGTATGTGCAATTCCCGATGCCTGCATGGCGAGGCAGTACACCCGGCGTAAAGGGACTGTACACACAGCGTACGCGCTGCAATTCACTTTTGTTGACTTTTAGGGTTTGGTCAACTTTTGGACTATAGAGGCCATGGAAGGGTAAATTGGTCTTTTATCCTTCTGTGAGTTAGTAGAGGGTTATCCTAGCTTCCTTGAGGGTCGATTATTAATTAGGGATAACTATTGTATGTGTTAGGCGGAGGCTAGACCGGTGATTCATGTACGAGGTTCATTTGCTTGCTTACTAGTGAGTCTTCTCAGTATACTTACCATGAGTGGTAATTTTGTGTGACCTGAGGGTCTTGTATGCTATTATTGAGTATTGTGATATCCTGCATTATGTCTTTGTGATTTATACTGTGTATTATTCTGAGCTTAGTGAGTTAGGACCGGACGGTTCCACTAAGACACACTTACCGGAGGGTCTTATTCGAGAAATATTCATGAGAGGCTAATGTGATATGTGTGGTATTTTGGGGAACTCGCTAGCTTTGTGCTTACGGTGTTATGTGTTATGTGTTTCAGGTACTTCTCAGGATCACAGGAAGGTGCCGGCATGATTGTACACATGAGATGGAGTTTATGTTTTTCTTTGGAGGATCCTGGATGTTATAAAACAGTTTATGAATTTGCTTTTTTGACAATGTGAATATTGTGGTTTTGGAAACGTGATATTGAGAATTATGTGGTTTTGAAAATGGAAAATTTGTTTGGAAATTTATGGTGTTACAAGTTGGTATCAGAGCCTTGGTTTGAAGGATTCGGATGTACTTTCGGGTATGTCTGGACTCAAACTGAGGATTTGAGAAAATTTTCAAATTAAAAGAAATGATTTTTCAAAA